CTTTTTTTAATATTTCGGTTGTGGCTTCCAAGTCTTTGATCGTTTTCTTCGCTTTATCCAATTCAGTATGTAGGACACACTGGTCAGCCTGAAGTAGATCAGTAGTTTCTTCTATCTAAATTCGTAAATTCGTTTCGTAAATTCTATCTTTATGGTGTTAACTTGACTTATGATAAAACTCTTTAGTTCGCCTAGAAGTGAAGATTGTATTTTATTTTGCCAATGCGTTAATTTATTATCCAATTTCTCATCAAGAAGCTCTCCAAGTTGACGCAAAGCATTCGGACCCAATTCACAGTCCGATACTGGCGCAGGGGAGACACTATCTTGCATTGATTTTGTTTGTATAGCAGTGTCTCTAATGAATCGAGATGTCAGTCACCTTGCAATGGCGAGGTCGCGTCGGCGCGTACACTGCGCGCCGTGTAAGGCGAACGGTGCGCGACTGGTTTTTTTTTATTTCAGCGATTACCGTTGTAGCACTGGCCGTTGGCGGTGCAGGGTCCTCGACTCGGAATGACGTTAACGAGTACAGTCTTACGGGACAAATAACGGATAGCGTAGGCTGGATTTACAAGTTACGAGCCCTTCAAATATTTTCTTCGAACTGGACCGTATTGAAGATACTCCCCACTTTTCAACCTAACGGTCTGCTTTGACGTTCGTAAAGCGTAAAGTGGTTAAAGTTAAACCCTTTGTCGACGTCTTACGGTTCCGGCACATTGTTGAAGCCTTCACGGCTCCAAACTACAGGTATAACATTCCTAACAACATGGGATGTTGGTCAAGTACTATACAGCTTGTGCTAAAGGTAGCTTTTTATGTGAGGATGTGGCAAGCGAGCTGATGTTAAGTGTGAACCGCCGGTCATCTCCATTTGCAACACTCGTAGATGAAGTGATACTTTAAATAAAGTGGCCCCCCGGTTACCTCGCTTGAACATGCAGAATATTCGCTTCCACTTCCAATCGCCGATCTTCTGTGTGTCCCTGGACATTTTTTTCCCGTGGGAAAAATGCCGCCACAAAAAGCCCACGTTGCACCTATCTCTGTCGCATCGGCCAAAGATACGGGAACACGTAGACGCAGTAATCCGCGACCCCGGCGCGACCTTGGCCTTTTTGGGCCTCCTCTTCTGAATGAATCACCAGCGGTGATGGTGATGTGACGGCGGATGGTGCTCTGCCGGTGGTCCCCGGTCGGACCTGCCCCTTCGTAATACAAGACTGTTTTGTGGCTACCACAGCCAAGATCAGATGACAAAATATGAAAGCTTTATTAGGATGCAAACCTTCCTTCTACTTATAAAATATTATCGTCATATTATGTTTCGAACGGCTTCCACATTAGAAAAAATTGTGCGTCTCCGAATGTTTTTCAGAAATTAAAAAAAAAACGAAACAGAAGAAATCCAGACTAGGAACAACAATTAATGGAGCAGAAATATCCATTTCAGTACTCAAAATAGAATCGGCACTTAGGCAGTCAAAGCTGTACAATTAATCATAAGTTTACAACGCGTGCGAAGCCAAGCGAAGGACTTAAAGGGTAGCTTAGTAGTAGGCGTGTGAAATTTCTATCAAGTCAATCGCTAAATCTAAACGCCATTTACATGTTTACCCAGGTTACGCGATTATTATTTTTTTGTCTAATCAATACCCTAAAGTAATGAAGAGTGATGTGGGAAATGATGATGTTGATGAATAGTTAATGCATTCGTGACATTAACTTACATTTTCAATGATATCGGTGTGTCGATAATCATGTATTAAGTCTGTTTTTAGAGTTTTACTAACGTCAAAATACTATCTCCTGTAACCAAATTAACAGATAGAAACCAGCCATAAGACGGAACAACAAAAATTATTTATTTATTATCTATTACACCAACACAATTTGTTTTTGCTTTACGTGCCCACGATAGAAAAATACTATAAACACCTAATGAGAGTAATTTGCTGCGCGTTATATTATTCCGCGCGTGATAGTATAGCGTGCGAGTGCGTGGGTGGAATTAGGATCGATTTTCCATACGTTCGATGTTCCGTACGGAACCATTCGGCGAGTTATTGACCTAGACAGTGGCGTGACGAATAGCGAGCGTTGTTTATGTGGAGTCGATTAAATGTGAGCAAGAGGAGGCGATTATCATACCATTTCGTATATGCGTTGACGTGACGGCGTTCGATTATTACGGATATATTTGAAGTGAAAACTTCTGTAGGCCCGTTGAGCACTTTTTAGGCGAACAAAAAGCGTGAAATTCGCGTCAATCGTCACCGAACGCTTTCCATGAGCATACATATTTTAAAAAAAGGAATACGCAAAAATATATTTGTAGTTATGGATATGATATAGCTATTATGGTTCGGAGTGCCAATTAAATATTAAATTTAAATTCTAATTTTAATTTTTAGAAAAAACAGCATTTTCTGTTGGATAGCATTATCTTGTGCTGTACGAACGTTATACATACATGTGCTTCACGTGGACGAACACCCATATCCGAAACAATTATCTATTTGTCACACAAATACTATCCCGTGTGGAAATCGAATCCACGATCCCCGGCGCCAAAGCCACCTTGGCAATTGCGCTGCGGAGTTATCATATCTACGTCGTATTTATCGATAGTGTTTCCTAACTTCTCCCCTTAAAGGGTTTTTAAGCGGAAATTCGGAAAGCGAGTAGGCGGTTAACCTGATGTTTAGTAATTACCGCTACCTACAATATTTGAAGGAATTCATGTGCGTTGCCAATCTTTAAAAAAGTGGGCTCCGATTACCTTTCTCACCATCACCAAATGCAAAAGACAAATTACAACTAATTATCGACAGTCTTCTGTACCTTGTGGAAACTTCAACGAAAACGAAAAGCAAACAAAAATCTTGCCTTGAAGACACCGTCACTTTAACCTCAAAGGTAGGAGGCAGAATGTTCCACATCCTTGCTGTACGCATTATGATCCATGAGCAATCTCTAATTTTGAGAAAATAACAAAATTCAACGCATAATCTATGCATTAAGTTGGAGGCCAAAAACATAAATAATAGAACAACTATCAAATGTTTGACATGTAGATTGATACAAAGACATTGACCGAATATATGTTTATACAAAACTCAATGTTATTGTCCAATATTCTAAAACTTGTTTACTTTTGCCTCAAGAATTAATCATCAATATTTTTTTCCGTATTTTTTCCGCATCGACAAGTACCTACCTAATTGATTGAAAGCGCCTGAAACTGATTGAATTAGAAAAACAGACAACGCGTGCAGAATCGGCGGGTACCAATGCCACAGCTGGCACAATGGGCCACCGTCCAACCCTAAGAAGTGATGAACGAGTGAAAACAATGGGCGCCCCGCTCATATATCTGGATAAGGACAGCGGACACGAGGTCCGTTTGACGCACGCGATACATTAGCGAAGAAACCAAGCATTAGCATCGTCAATCGTCTTCCATAACGAACGGGTAACGAATTGTGACATCACTTCATTCAACCAGTGCCAGCGCAAGTTACGATGGAAAACAAATGGAAATACCAAGCTCAGTCATTGAGGATGTCAAAGTCAAGTCAAAGTCAAAGTATATTTATTCAATATAGGCCTAACTTAAGCTCTTATTGAACGTCAACAAAAAATCTACCACCGGTTCACTAAACTAGACCTGCACAGAGAAGAACCGGCAAGAAACTCTGCGGTCTTGTTCTTTTTGTTATATATTTTTTTTTTGATGCAATTATACACACTTATTTAGGTATAAAATCAGCAGCAGCCAGGGGTCTTGCAAGTGCAGAGCAAGAGTCATTTCCAAACATCCTTGTCCTCAATGTATTCTTGGATATTATAGTAGGCCCTTGCCATTAAGGTAGCTTTTACAAATTGTTTAAAATTGTTTATACTTAGATGTTAGTAACCATTCTATCCTATTCTTTAAATAAATTGCCCTTACTTTAGAATAACAATATCCTGTGTAAGGACGTTTTACAGACATAAATTTCACGCGGACAAAAACCGAGATGCAAAACAACTATCTGTGGGTCACACAAATAGTTGTAGCGTGTGGGAATCGAACCCACCACCGACGCCGAAGCCAATATATTGACAACTGTTTTGGCAATTATGACAATGCAATTGCAAATTTCAACTTAAAAATATTGGTACTTCTTCATTTACATTATATCATAATTTGAAAATTGTCGGATAAATTATTAAAACTTTTATAAGAGTCAAGTTGTCACTCCACCGTACCCAAAGAAATTTATATAATCAACCTCATGCTTCTCATCTTTGCATTGTTTCAAACTTGTGAATCTTTTTGCTTTCCAAGTGAAAACTTTTATTTAAACATAATGAGACGCAGTAGAATTTTTTATTTTTATCACAAATGCTATTTTTTATTCGAGGCCATTACACATTAGTAAATTAGTTAGAAAGTTTTCTTGCTACCGTTAAATCTACACAATCACATACATAAAATTAATTATCCGTAAAATTTTATAGATTATTTTCAGAAATTTAAAGTTTTTTTATAGTGCTAATCTCTGCACTTAAGATTAAACATTAAAACTTGTAGAAAATTTAAGAAAAGATTGTAGCCGCTGTGGGAATGGAACCCACGTCTTCGGCATTCGCGACTTGACGCTTTAGCCACTAAGCTAAACGGCTGACACACGTTAAGATTTTCGCCGGTGTGTAAGTTTTAATAGATTATTTTTCTTGACAATATCTCAAAAAAACCCTCTTAAATTAAGCGTCATTATATTTGTTATGTAGTACAGCCGTGGTGGGGTTACGGATTAATTGTCTATGATGACAAAGAGATAAATTGTCTGAAATCTAGATGTCAGTTCAAGTATAATGTATGTATGTGAAACCTCTACAATAATTATAATACAATACCTCTAGAACAAAAACCACCTTTAGACATGAATTGAATCTGTGGAACTGTAATAGCTACAAATCGATGTAATATGGTATTATCTGTGACTCACTGGTGGTGAGAGGTGTGATGGCCTTCTCCCCCTCGTGCTGGAACATCTGCAGGGTCGCCACCGTCGCCTTGAGCTGCTCGTACTCACGCGCCATCTGTTTTTGTACCTGCGCGCAACAAATGAACTAATTGTAACCCAACAACACATTCGTACGTGTTTACGTTACATAAAGACTCACGCCCGGTTTATGAAACACTGATCATCGTACAAATTAACTAATCAGCTGCCAAATGGTTTCAGGATGGTTAAACTCTTTGAATTGATCATTCTGATCGTTTTGATTAACTTTTACTTATTTAATCATCCTTTTGGCAGCAATTCAATTGTCATTTGAGAAGCCATTTGACAGCTGATTTGTGTATTTCGACCGTGATCAGTGTTTCAGAAACCGGGCGTCTGTGGCGCAGCTGCTAAGATTTTAAAAGAAATTGCTAGCTAGTATCATAAAAAAATTGTTTCTTTTTTTTATGCGAAAAGTTGTCAAACGAGCAGACGGTTCACCTGATGTTAAGCGCTGCCCATGGACATCTGCCACACCCGAGGGTTGCAGATGTGTTGACAACCTTTTGAAAATTGGGCTCCGGCTACCTCACTCACCAGACGAAACGCGAAAGTATTTGTCATACTTCCACTTTACGCTGGTCTTCTGTGAGGTCGTGTTACTTACTCGGACGGGCCCGCCCATGCGTGCAACAGGCTGCTGCGTGGCCCTACCACCGTAGTACCAACAAGTGTAAGTACTTGTCGTACAACCGACCAACTTGTGTCCGAAATTCCACTATGATTTTATCGTTCGGAAATAATACTAAAAAATCACGTCTTTATTATTTCCAGTCGTATCGAACGATTTTACGTGTACTCTTTACGTCATAGAAAGCATCTAGAAGGTATTCTTTACGACATGGCTTCGTGATTGCTTGTCGCTTGCCGCCTTGCAGTTAAGTCGGAAAGTTGGAGAGGACATTACGTCACTCAACAGCTGTTCGCGTCATATACCTGCGGCTCAAGTATGCTTCAATTGCCATGTGTTCGCATTATTTTGAAACTTATTTAAAATATATAATGTAACCTGAATAAATAAGATTGGTCGTTTATTTAGCCAATCGTATAGAGAGGAATAGCAAGTGATATTTAATTTTCAAATAGTCAGATGATAAACCTCTGCTTATTCCTTGGGTTTAGATGAATGAGTGCGTGATACGAATGAATATTTTTGATGCAGTGACAGAGTTTTGTTGAAAATTAAAAGTACTTGGAACGTCTACCTTATTGCCGATTAACTGATATGTAATCACGGACATAAATTCAATCTAGACTGGGAGCAACTATTTAAGGTCTTTATATTTTTTTAGCCTGAATAGGGATTGAACCCATAACCCATAATGGAAATTTTCGAAGTGAGCACTTGAACCAGAGCGCAGAGTGCAGACGAACGGTTAATTACAAAATGTCTTTATGAGAATCGCCATAAAAATTCTCGGGACATAGTTCTTAGTGTTCTTTAATATTAAAACCGTATTTTCTGATTAAATAATATTTTTGTTAGCCTCGTTAAAGAGTTTTACAAGGCTCTTACCCTTTGAAGCGCGATAAGATTTTGGTCCATTATAATAAGGTTCGGGACAACAAACAATAAATAATGCTTAAAAAGTTGCATAAAATAAGCTTATTGTATTTTCGGTAAATAAAAGCGAAAAGTCACTCTGTGACAAATTGAAAAAAGGTTACTGGTAAGAAATAAAAACGCATAAAACCTCCTTGCGAATGTTAGAATAACGCCCGGTTTCTGAAACACCGATCATCGTAGAAGTTAACTAATCAGCTGTCAAATAGCTTTTCAAATGTCATTTGAGTTGCCAAAACGATGCTTAAACTATCTGAATTGATCAAAATGATCTTAATGATCAGAGTGATCGTTCTCCATCCTTTTGGCAACTCAAATGACATTTGAAAAGCCATTTGACAGCTGATTGGTTAACTACTACGATGATCAGTGTTTCAGAAACCGGGCGAAGTTCCATCCACCAAATAATATGCCCTCTGCGCGTCGCTAACGAGTGTAAAATTGTTTTATTCGGTCTGCATAACAAGCGACAAGAGAATAAACAAGAGACTCGTCTACAGCCAAAGCGGAGACAAAGGAGAAATGCGATCTCCCACAGTGATAGGCGGACCACAAGCGGCCGTTTATAATGGAGAACTCCCATACAACACGGTAAAAGTATACGATCGCGATGTCCCACACAAACACTTGACGGTGTTTTCGGCGTTAACGCGAGGCCCACATTCTACTTAAACGCCGGTTAGACCAGTGGCTTCAAAACTTTGGTTCAATGCCATTATTCGAAATAATCATAAGTCCACGAAACCATAATAAAACCCAACTTATAACTTATATTTATATTATTATTTTTTTGATGACTCCGTGGCGCAGTCGCCAAGGTATTGGCTTCGGCGTCGGGGGTCGTGGGTTCGATTCCCACACGGGACAACTATTTGTGTGACCCCACAGATGGTTGTTTCGCATCTGGGTGTATGTCCGCGTGTAATTTATGTTTGTAAAATGTCCTTACAACACAGGATAATATTATCCTAAAGTAAGGGCAGTGTTTTAAAAAAAATGATTAAAATGGTACTCAAATTGAGAATATTACGCGGTACGTATTACGTACTATGAGTATGAGAGACACCGTATTGTGCTATGCAAGTTCGTGGTGGACTAAGTAATTATTCAATGAGTAGGAAATCGGACACCTGAAACGCGACCGACATAAATTATTAAGCAGGGTTCGCCGACCCCGACGTAAACACTTACGTCGAACCATCTACATTTACGCTGTATTTAAGGGTTGTCGAGTCTCTCATTATTTTAGTTTTAACTGAAAGAAATCTGCGAAATAAACATGAGAAAGCAAGATAATAAATAGCTTTTAGAAAATTTATATGGACAAAATAATATACACGGCAAAAGTATATGGTATAATTGGCTACAAAATAATTTCTGCGATGTCATTTCCAATGAGGAAGATAGAAGGAAAATGTCTCTAATCTCGTACGACATTCACCAAGCTCAGTACTAAAAACGGCGCATTGACTTGAAAGGGACTTGAATTCGAAAAGGTGAAAACCCTAAAAGGTGACCGGACAAAATGACCACGACAGAGTACTCGACAATAGGACAACCACTTGGCGTTCTTCCAGGCACTGAATTAGATCACATGACCTAACCAAGTGTTCAGAGGCCGCTGCTTCTTCAGATGACGCACTGTAAGCACGGTTATCTAAATAGGAGCTCATCTTGTTTGACATCTTGGCTCGTTGGGCTGCTAGTTTATTTGCTTTCAACGCTTATTTAGTGTCATCATGTGTGCTTGCTCATTCGAAATTATTATAAAAACATCACTTTATTAGTATTATTTCAGAGCTCGGCTTCATCCCGTTAATATAATGTAGTAAAGTAATAAATAAGTAATCACATTGGAATAAATAACACGGCAGCTTTATTATGTTATCTCGCAGAATCACGAACGCAAAATAATGTAAACAGCACGTAAGACGTCATCTAGTAAAATATACGTATCGTACGACTTCAGATGCATGTAACAGACACGAATTATTATAATAAATATAAAAACGTTTATCCTAATGACGTGGTGAGAGGTTGAAATTAGTTAGAAACTACAAGTTTTACGCTTCTCATTATAACGTGACGGTAATAAACTCGATGCACTCATAATTGTCGAAAAAAAATATAATTTGCGAAAAACAGTAACGAACAGTAAACGATGGCTGAATTTAAACTTTAACGAATTTAATTTAAAACTAAACTCAATTTAAGATCCTAAATTTGGACCCTACAAGGTTAACGAACTTGATATTTTCGATGAATGTCATCTTTCGATGTGTCATTAAAGAATATAATTGCATTGATAAACCATTAAATAACAGCCTATATATGTCCCACTGCTGGGCAACGGCCTCCACTGTATAGAGGTTTAGGGTATAGTATATTAATGACGCGACCAATATATCAATAAATAATTATTGGTGGACATCAAATATCTTCTAAATGTTTTTGTTATTATGAAAATATGCAGGTTTCCTCACGATAATTTCCTTCCCATTACGCACGTGATGATAATCTTGTACTCAAATATGTATAATTTGAACCGTAACCAAATAAAGTCCAATTATATTCAAAACACTAATAACCCCAGACTATATGTCTTGAAGAAATACGACATCTCTCCCGTCTGACTGCGTGTCTGTGGTCCTTATAGCTTGCTAATACTAAGTCCGGTTTACATGATTCCTTTTGTCGTATGGAATAAATTATCTGACACAGGCCTAATATGAATTTGAGAACTATAATAAGTTATCTATATTTTATTCAGAACAAAAGTCATTGCTCGAAGACCTTGGTTTACAAGGTGGTTGTCTGCAATTTCGGCCATAAATAATATAGGCCTATAAATAGCCTAGGCCGCTATTTCAAAGCGAATTGGGCAACACGAGTTATCTGCTATCGTTAAAGTTAGACGTGGAAGCTTTACAAATCACTTCAGTCAGCGAAACTTGTGTATTAAGTTTCGCCTACATTTTACGAAGAAAATACCTTTGATGATCCATATTACGGGTTTCCTATAGAGTATACGTCTAAATGAAGACTAAGACACTTCGGCTTACAATCCCTTCTCTGTCGACAAAGGCTGCTTAACTCCACGTTTCTATATAGAATGGTTAATGGGCGTTTTAATGGTCACATTGATGACATCATAATGTTTGCATTTACTTAATAATCTCAGTAAAATTTATCTATACCTAGAGATTTGCCAAGACCATTGAAATATACTCCATTAACTTTAAAAACAACGTACTCAAAGTTAGAACAATTTTTTCGTTCAATAAATTAATGAGTGAGAATTTATAACGCTGTTCATAATACAAGCGTGGTATAAGTTTAAAATGTGATCCAAAAACACTTCTTATCAATATTTTTAGGATTCCGTACACAAAGGTAGAACAGTACCCTATTACGAAGACTCAGTTGTCTGTACGTCCGTCCGTCTGTCACCAGGCCGTATCTCATGTACCGTGATAGTTAAA